TCAGATTCCGTTCACGCGTGAACGACGCGGAGGCGGATCAGTTCGCGAAGGCGGAGACGGATCGGGATCTGCCATGACGGGCGGCGATCCGTGGCGGCTTGATGGACGACGAGAAGAGGGAGGCGGCGGACGACGTCGCCGAGATACGGGAGCGCCAAGCTCGCCGGGAGAAGGGGAGCGCCATCGCGGTGGAGGAGACCGCGGGAGCACCCTGGAGGACCACGCGGTGTTTGGACGGGGGTATTGCAGCGAAGGAGATAAGGAGATCTCCTGCGCCGACGAGTCAGTGAAGGCGAGGCGCGAGGAAGACGGAACCGAAGTCGACGAGTACGGCGAGGAGCCAAAGCACCAACGTATGGAGGCGGGGACGCGACGCGATCTCCCGGCAGCACCAGGCGCGCGACGAGGCGGAGCAAGGTGGGGCAAATGAAGGAGATCGTTCGTCAGATCAGCGAACAGAGCTTGGCGACGACAGCCACGGAAAGGATTCGGCGCCTGAGCCACAAGAAAAGCAAGGCGACATGACGTATGAGCGTGCGGAAGAAGATCATCCTCTAGATACGCGTCGGCAGGACGAAGGAAGGCGAAAAGAGGGGCCGCATGCATCAGATCTGCATCACATGTGCGGAGGAAAGCGAGGCGACAGGTCGTGCTCGCCAGATCTGCATCGGCAGGGAGGGGGAAGGCGAAGTGATGAATTACGCTCGCCAGACCCGCATCGGCCACGTAGAGGAAGGCGTGACGCGTGGTCACCTTCGCCAGGGGTAGAGCGGCAGCATGGAAGCAGCCGGGACGCGCGAGCGAAGGCGAATCATTCGTCAGAGCAGCAGCGGGGGCGAGCGGAGATGCGATATGAAGTGCCCAGGGACGAGTTCTCACCTGATCCGCGTCGGCAGCGCAGAGGAGGGCGGAACGGAGGGTCGCGCTCGCCTGATCCGCGTTGGCAGCGCGGAGGAGGGCGGAACGGAGGGTCGCGCTCGCCTGATCCGCGTCGGCAGCGCGGAGGAGGGCGGAACGGAGGGTCGCGCTCGCCTGATCCGCGTCAGCAGCGCGGAGGAGGGCGGAACGGAGGGTCGTGCTCGCCTGATCCGCGTCGGCAGCGCGGAGGAGGGTGGAACGGAGGGCCGCGCTCGCCTGCTCCGTGTCGGCACCATGATGGGAGGCAGGGAGGCGGGGCGCGCTCGCCTGATGAGCATTGGCAACGAGATAGAAGACGGACTGGCGAGTCTGGCTCGCCTGATCCGCAGGGGCACAATGAGGGAAGGGCAAGGGGCGAGGCACGTTCGCTAGATCTGCAGCGTAAGCAGGGAGGGAGATGGGAGGAGGAGTGGCATCTACAAGAAAGTCGTCGCGGGCATGGAGGAAGAAGGGATGAGAGATCCCCACCGTCCGAGAGGCACTGGCAGCGCGGAACGCTAAGGGAAGGACGGGCGAGGGCGCATTGCTCGCCAGAGCGGCAGTGGGGGCGAGCAGGAGCACGGATGAGTGCGGAGGACCTGCGAAGCGAGGCGGGACAGGACCAGCGCAGAAGCAAAAGGGGAGGCGGCGGTCTGGCGTACAGCACGGAGTGCGCCACAGAGGCAAGGGAAGGAATCGAGAGGGCAAGGGAGAGGGAGTCATCAAGAAGGCAGACGAGAGGACTGATTGAACCATGGGGAGACGGTTGGGGGAGCATAACGATGGCCACGCGAGTGGAAGTGCCGGCGCGATTCTCGGGAGATCAGCACACGGGGCCTACACTTAAGAACTACCTAATGCAAGTGGGGAGTGTGAGGTACAGATGCGAGAGGAGCGTCATGGACTCGGTGGACTTCTTCCTGAGTCTGCCGAATACATTGGAAGGGGAGGCAGAAACGTTGTACAGGATGAAGATGGACGAGCTACTGGAGAAGGCAGGGAGGTATGGGGAAGACCCCACGGAGGCGTTCTTGAGGCGGCTGCAGCGGAAGTTTCCTGGAAATACAGCAGAGCGGATAAGAGAGTTTCAGGATTTTAGGAGGGGGCGGAGCGAGTCGTTGCTCACCTACTACAACAGGCTGATCAATGTGGCGGAGGATGTGACATGCTCGGACATGGGCCTACTCGTTAGCAAATTCCTCGATGGGCTGGACAATACCATGGGGAATGGGCTGCGAATGAAGGTTTACACACTGGGGGCAGACGCGACACTAGATGAGGTGTTTGAGTTAGCGGAGAAGATGGAGCTTGCGCAGAGGAAGTATGAAGCATACCGGCCCCGAACGACAGAGAAGAGCCGAGAACCGACCTGGGCAGCAGTAAGGATGGCTGAGGATAGGGGAAGGTCAGAGGGACGAGGGGATGGTAGGGCAGAGAACAGGACCTGCTACAGATGCGGACAGTCGGGGCACGTTAGGAGAGATTGCAAGAACTGTGATTGCTGTGGGAAGCCGGGACACTTGAGGAGAGAGTGCCCAGATCCATCAGGGTGTGAAATCTACAGCAAGAAGGGACGTGAGGCGAAGGACTGCTACCAACGGGAGGGGACAGCAAAGGGGAACCCGGAAGAGCTCAAAACGGCTACAACCACAGCTGCAGGCACTCAGACCAAGGCAGGAAGCGGAGGCAGGAACGAGCGCCAGAGATGGGGATGACAGGGAAGTAGGGCAGGATGTGCAACGCGCGTATATGGCCTGGAGGGGAAGGGAAGAGATGGGACTACGCAGTGGAGGGGAGGACAGCCAGCAAGAGCACCGACAAAAGGGAGGAGAGAAGGGGCAGCAGGCAGAGGAGCCAACTCCAAAGGACGTTGTGGCTCGCCACCCGCCGGACGGGCTAGTAAGCCAGATTTCAGCACTGGTGGTGAGAAATGGGGCGACGGCAATGGAGGGGGAGAAGGACAAGACGGTGATCACAGACACTGGAGCACGGAGTAGGAAGTTGGGGAAGGTCATGGCAGAAGAACTGGGACTGATAGCACCAGAGAAGCAGCTAGCAAAGGGGATGGTTGTGACGACGGCAGAAACGGGGGAACTTGAGTGGATGGCAAGCACCCATGCTCCGACTGAACTGACACTATTGCCAGGGAAGAAACAGGGGGCACAGAAGGGTATGCCAGCAGTAGCAGAAGTGGAAAGCAAGGCAGAGAGGGTGGGGGCACAGACGTGCACACCAGAAGTAGTAGAACCGGAAGGGAGAGAAGAGAAGGTGAGAACACAGGCGTGTGTACCAGCAGCGGCGGAAGCGGACAGGGAGAACGAGAAGGTGGGGGCATGGGCATGTGCTCCAGTGAGAACGGAAGGGAAAGAAGGGAAGGTGTGGGCACAGGCATGCACATCAGCAGTAGCGAAAGCGGAAAGGAAAGATGAGGGGATGGAGGCACGAGCGTGTATATCAGCAGCAACGGGAGCAGAGGAACGAGACGAGCAGGTGGGGGCACGAGCTCAGGTGGGGGCACGAGCTCAGGTGGGGGCACGAGCTCGTCGGCTCGGGACGTGCCGGCAGAACTTGGTGCCCGCCCAATATCTGCAGGAGGAAATAGCCGTTGTGGGACGGGCTTGGGGGAGGAAGGTGCAGGGCATTTTAGAGCCAATAAGGACAAAGGCACGAGTGACTAGGAGGTGCTACAGCAAGCTTTACCCATGTAATCGGGGGGGACAGGAGGTACAGGCACTGTCAGCGCTGGGGGCAGACGAAAAGGGCGAAGAAGGGAAGGCGGGACCTGCTATGGTGTATGATCACAAGGAGGGCAGAAGGGAAGAGCCCACGGCTCTGGAGCGAGAGTTAGCCATGAGGAATGGAGAGAACATCACGGCAGCCCCAGGTGCGACTAAGCTGAAAGGAAGGAGGGCGTTGGGGAATACAATGAATGAGCAGATGATGAGGTCGGAGTCACTACAGGAACGGGTACAGGGTGGAGGGAAAGCAGAGGCAGCAGCGGTCCCGCGAGGAGCCTTGTCCTGCATGGAAGGGGAGTATCCAAAGTGGAAGGTGGGAGAGACAGTGAGCGAAGAAGGGAAGAAGGTGATGTTGGCAATATTAGCAAAACACAGGAGGCGATTGGCCTTACAAGCGGTGGGGAAGGGCAGGGTAAAGGAGAGGCAACGCAAGGGAGAGGGGAGAGTGCCAAAGGGAGTCTGTGAAGGACAGGAGGTATCCCTGAAGAGCGTGAAGCAGGACACACTGGATGTGGGGTTGGGGACTGTGCGATGGAAGGTCAAGGGGGTGCGCCCCTCAGGGGTGCTGGTACTGGACAATGAGAAGGGGGCACAGTTGAAGGAGCACCAGCCGAACACAGCTGTGATCAGAGGGACAGGGCCTCAGCGTGCTGGTCCTGTGACCCGCGCTCAAGCTGCTCGAGCACGGGCACAGGAGGGGGCAGAGAGTGGCTGAGGCAGGACAGGAACAGAGAAGAGTAAGAAGGACAGAAGGAAGGGCAGATGGCTGGCAATAGCAGTTTTCCGACAGCTGTCACCGAATATGCATGATTATGCATATAAGGTGCCAGAGTATGCGGTGTAGTTATGGTGTAGCAATGTTGAGTGTGCACATTGTAGGGCAGGTAGTTGGGGACCAGGGAAACTGACGCGAGGTGGGTAGGAGAGCACCGAGGGGTGGAATCCAAGGAACCAATGTGAACGAACCAACCCAGGCTCGAGCCGCACATTGAGAAATGCACGGTTTGAGCCTGGGCCAGGTAAATTCACTCTCTCACACACACCCGATGCTTTTCTCTTGTTATTCTCTCATACTAGTGGAAAGTTGTTACCTCAGATCTAGCATCCGGTGGCACGCCACTATGGGAGGACCTACGGGGTGAGGGAGGAAACTCTTTCATAAATGAGAGTGGCTGAGGCAGGACAGGAACAGAGAAGAGCAAGGACAGAAGGAAGGGCAGATGGCTGGCAATAGCAGTTTTCCGACATCAGGCCAGCCATTCATTCTGATGCATGATGAGTAGCCACCAGATCCTTTTTTATTAGTGTACTACCTACCTATACCCCGAATTCTAAGCAGCTAACATGCAGCCATTATGGGCAAACTCAACGCCCTATGGATGGCTTCAATTGCAGCCAGCTCTTGAGGCTATCAGTCATGGAGAAAGTACCCGTGAATGAGATCACACCAGACTGTGAGCCATGAGACCTCTCAGGCTCCCTCCCTCCACCTCCACACAACTCAGAAGGCATCCCTTGGTTGCTTGTCCCTTCTTCTGTCACAACATTCTCCCACTCATCCTCCTCGTCAGGGCAGTGCTTGTCAATGAGGGCACTGAGGCGGTATGCCACATCCTTCATGGTGGGTCGCCGTGTGCCGGGAGACTTGATGCAGTCCAGAGCCAGGTCTGCAAAGTCCACTATGGCCTCCTCACTTACTGCCGGCATCTTGCTGTCCCTCAGCTCCTCCACCTCATATGTCTCCACCAGCTTCATAGCCTAGAGGGCAACGTACACATAACACGAATGGATAATGAATGGTGAGGCAATGCAAAGCAGCAAGCGATGAAGCAAGGGAGGTGGAAGGCAACATGACAACAAGGAAGCAGTGTAAATCAGCATAAAAGGAAGTCAGACGCATAAACGTAACAGGAAAAACGAAAAAAGAAACGAAGTCCAGAATAAACGTTCAAGATAAACGTTCAGCCATAAAGTAACGAAGTCAGACGAATTCTACATCTTATCAGCATACCCTTTGTCTTATATGCAAGTTTCCAACTCTTATCCAAAACAAAAAAGAGTTTCATACTTGATGTGCATACCCATTTTCTTATATGTGTTTTTGGGTCGACATGGGGTGACTTGCCACTCAGCAGCTGAAGAAGCACAATTCCAAAGCTGCAAGCAATCATCCATTGTGTGCAAAGAAATGGACAGATGTAGAGATACCAATACGAGGTACACGAACGAACTCAACGAACTCAACATAGCCAAGGGGATAAACAAAAAGTGCAAAAGTTCATTGTGTCATGGAAAGGAACAAGCATGTACAGCGGTAAAGAAAGCAATACTGGGCATAACCTGGAAGATTTACCAAAAAAGAAAAAACAACAGAAAAGCACAATCGCGTTGTGCAAAGGAACAAGCATGCGCACCTGAACACGTCACTCTTGACAGTGATGACGTTGGTGCGGTTGTAATCTGGATCCACATAGCCCGGAGTGCCGGCCACCCGAGTGGCATCAGCATCGCCGTGAGTGAGGCGCTTGAGCAGCCCAAAGTCAGCCACCTTGGCTTGCATGTCGGCAGACACAAGGATGTTGGCCGGCTTGATGTCGCGGTGAACGATGGGTGTGTCAAACCCATGCAGGTACGCCAGGCCCTCTGCTGTTCCCTGTGCCAGGCGCAACCTCTGGCGCAGCGAGAGTGGACCTGGGCCATGCAACATGTATGCCAAGCAGAGCACATGATTTCATGAGTGGCGGTGTCATGTCCTTTGCAGAAAAACAAAGCAAAACAAAACAGACAAACAAGTAAACGCTGTTCGACAATTGTGCTAGTGCGACTCACGCTTGGTCCTGTGGATATGGTACTCGAGGTCCCTGTTGGCCATAAACTCGTACACGAGGATCTGCTCCTGCTTGCCCGTCTCCACGTTCTGGTCCAGGCAGAAGCCCAGCAGGCGCACGAGATGCACGTGGTGGAGAGAGGCCATGGCTCGCACCTGCAGTGAGAGCACAATGAAGGCACGTGCACATGGGCATGAAAAAGTGAGACATGCATTTGCAGATCAGCATTTTGGGAAACAAAGAGTGCCATGTCTTTGTTGTGGAGAGAGGCCTTTGATCGCACCTGCAGCATGGACACACATGAAACAAGATCAGCATTTTGGGAAGCAGAGAGTGCCCTGTTGTCTCGTGACGTCTTTTCTCGTGTAAAGGGAACTAAAGGCATGCATCACCTCCGTTTCAAAGTCGTTGGTCATGATGGTGGAGCGCTTGATGGCCCACAGCTGCCCTTGTGGCGAGCGGCCTTTGTAGACAACGCCAAATCCACCCTTGCCCAGCACATTGTCCTCCGACCAGTTGTTGGTGGCACTCAGCATCTGCTGCAGCGAGAACTGCTCACACACGTCCAACCCCTCCCACTTCTCTGCACACAGAAAATTTTCAGACCAGAGGTGTGAGAGACTAAGGGTGTAGATGCGTGGACAGAGCATGAGAGCAGAGCAGAGGCGAGCAAGGGGGCAGAGTAGAGGCACGAAAATTGAGAGAGGTGGAAAGCGGGGAAGGAAGCCAGGAAAGTGTGCAGTAATGGGGGAGATGGAATGGAAGTGAAGGGTTTGAGGGGCTCACTCTGTCCGCGGGGCCACAGCAGCCATGCGACCATAGAAGCCAACAGCGTGAAGCCAGCAAAGCTGCCCAGCACAATGCCCACTATGGCACCCGTCGACAGAGACGACACTGCCGGGGAGTGGACATGGGGCGGTGATAAACATGTGTATAGCAGAAGCCTCATGAAACGTGGTTACTGGTGCAGAACATAGGAATGAAATGTGGAGCTGTAAGAATGAAGCAAGGGTTACCAGTGGTGGTGTTGGTGGTGGAGTGGACGATGGCACATGTGGAGGAGCCGTTGCCCGAGTCGACTGCACTGTACCCCGCATCACAGAGGCACGTGAAGCTGGAGGGGGAGGCGGGGGCAGCCGGCACACACGCCCCATGGCCGTCACACGGGCCGTTGTCTGTGATGCTGCAGAACGCCTGGCAGGCTACCGTGCTGCGCTGGGTGGCGTTGACCGAGCACTTGCTGCTCGGGGTGAGAGTCAGGCAGTTGCCCGACAGACTCACCCTCGCTGTCTTGCCCCGCTCATCCACGAGAGCAAGACTGCCGCACTTGCCACCAAACTCTTGCCATGCAAAGCTGTCCCTTATGCCCAGGTTGTTGGGCTCGTTGATCTCAGTGGGGCAGACCTTGCAGCCAGCAGCAAAGAGCACCCCATCTCCAAAGAAGAAGTTGTGAGCCAAGTTGACGAGGGCATTGTCATCCCCCGCTTTGTTGTCGAAGGTGCGAACGAGGGCACCGCCGCTGGTCGTCAGCATGTTCTTGAAGTCGCGGTTGATGCGCCCATACAGACTGTTGCCGCTCACATCACTGTGGAAAGCACAGGGGGATCACGGAGGGCAGGAGATGATATTGAGTGTCTGATCGGAGGCCGTCCCACCAGATAATGATGTTTGTGCAATGCCCATGTTGAGGGTGCGAGCTCCCATGGATGGTACTGAGAATAGAGTATGCACGGTAGGCTCACATTTGTGTGATACAGTTGTCAAAGAGGCAGTCTGGCAGGGGTCCATAGAGGGAGTTGTTGCTGATCATGCTGCAAGCAGCACGGCACACACCATGCCGCGCCATGAGTCGCACACCCACACAGAAAGGCAAACACACAACACAAAACTGAAACTACTTCATACGTTTTAACAATCTCCAAAATCATGAAAACAGGAGATATTTCCCCCCCCCCCCCCCTTTTTTTTAAGGTCCGTAAGAAAGAATTCCTTAAAAAATATATATATATATATATATATCTATCAAGTGTATAACTGTCACTCACAGGCGCCACAGCCAGGGCAGCGAGCACATGCCAGGTGGCAGAGGGCCTTCAATGTTGTTGTTGTCCAACCAGCTAGGGAGACATACAGAGAATTGGCAGGAACAAAGACGGAAACAATTCCATCAAGAGCAGGGGGTGGAGTGGGGATGGCACAGGTGATGCTTGCGTGTTTTGGTCTCTTGTATTCATTTCATGGTGTGGAAGTTTGCTAGGTCTGTTATGGTAACGATGTACTGCAAGCTTATGCATGTGCTGTGTGTGTTGCACTGTTCTTTAAAATAGTAGAGGAGGAATGTAGAGGAAGGCACATGGCACGCTTACATCTGTTCAAGATTCTCCAGTTGGCTGATGGCAGCTGGCAGAGTGCCACTCAGATGGTTGTTGGCCAAGTATCTGAAGAGCAACAGCAATGGCAGGGAGACATTCCGATGAGAAGCAGCGTATGCAAGAGGAGTGCAGGCTGGTGCAAGAAAGGAAAGTACCATTGGGCAGAGGTAGGAACGTGTGATGGGCACTCAGAAAGGGGATCCCTAAACACATGCGGCTTACATGTATGTCAGATTCCTCATGGTGAAGATGGCTGAAGGGATGGTGCCTGTCAACTGGTTGTTGTTGAGAAAACTGCAGAGCAGGGAATAGCAACGGGGTACGTTGGTTGGAAGTGCGAATGAAGCATGTGTAGCTGCGTGTGTGCATAGGCTGCCACTGCTACCTTTCTCATGCCATTGGCTGCGTGCCACTACAAAGGTTCGACGGTGACTTCTGTACACGGCATCCCACCTTGTTCAGATGGGAAAAGCTCCATAGATATGTGCTCATGGCAGGCATCACAAGGCTCACATTGCTATGCCAAGGCATGTGTTTTGGCTCGTTGTGGCACAAGAAGAGAAGAGGAGGCTCACATGCCAATGAGGGTGGTGAGGGTGGAGATGGAGTTGGGAATCGACCCTGTGAAGTTGTTGGCGCTGAGATTTCTGCGCCACAAACAACACAGGCGAGGCAGCAGCGAGATAGCCTGTCGTGAGTGGGGTGAACGCTACAGCTTACTATGGGTGACCCAACCGACCCGACCTGACCCGATTTGGGCGTGGGTTAGACGGGGGGTCAGGTCCAGTCTTCCTGGGTCGGAGTTTCCTAAATCCTGACCCGACCGGGCCTTAAAGGACCGGGTCACGCCTGACCCGCCCCCGGGTCGGTACAGGTACCTATTTTTGCCCAGGCTCTGCGCAGAGCGGGTGAAAGCGCCGATCTGCACAGATATGGAAGCAGAATGCAAGTTAGATTTCCACCCATCGAATTTTGACAATCTCTATCCCTCTTTTTTTTTTCTTTTAAACAGTCAACGTTTTTCACCAAGATACAATTTCTTTTTTTTTTCAGACCAAAACTCTCGAAAAGTTCGGGTGAAAATATTGTCCGTGATTTTTACCCCCCAAAATTAAAAAGAGGCGCAATTTTGCACCCTGCTCAGACCAAGATTGAGCAAGCGTTGTTTAGAGTGAGAAAAGGAGGAAGAGAGTGTGAGAAAACTTATATTACATCTCTGCACAGCTGATATTCCAGCGTGAGAAGTCTGGTAAGGAGCCCGTGAAGTCATTTCCACCCAGGTCACTGCACACAATTCAAAAGAAGACGAAGATTCCATAAAAGTTAACCATGAATGTACAGCGTTGCACCAGGAACACACAATGGTGGCAACACACACAGTGGTGGCAGCACTCAGTGCTTCAACTTCTTACAGTATGCCAAGAGAAGTTGTGACCCTGAGAGTCCGTGGGAGTTCCCCAGAAAGAGAGTTGTTAGATACTTTCCTGGGTTCGGAAATTAAAGAGGAGGCTGGATGCAGCAGTTACAAAACCAAGGATACTCCCTAAGCACATGAATGAATCGTGGCCTCTACGAGGCTGACAATGAGCTTGGGGTGGAAAGTTGGAACAGACATGCGGTTGTTTTTCAAAAACTCGACGAGTAAAACTCAACCTGGCTCGGTCAAGTTTTTTTCCAGAGGATTCTCGCACTCGACACTCGACCCGTGACGAGTCCCCCAAACGAGTTGAGTTTCGAAACTCGACTCAATGCACATGTCTGAGTTGGAAACTTGAGAGATGCAAGGAGAAACAAACAAAGCAGGTAGCATGCGAACTCCTGTTTTTGGTGTTTGGCAGTGGAGCAAAGTACTTGCAAAATACCATTTGACATATCAGGGATAGTAATATTTACCCTTTAGTTGAGAGAAAGACAAGGCGGGAGAAGAGATTCTTCTGAAACATGTGTACTGGAGCTGCTTACAGCAGGTTCAAACCGGGTAGCCGAAGCAGCCCGGATGAGAAAGATCCATGGAAATTGTTGTCATTGAGGTTTCTGCACAATGGTAACAATCAAGAGCCTCGATCAAAGTGGCCTCAGAAATTCAAGCACAAGGCTAAGCAGATCCTCAACCCTGCTACAGTTCGCAGTAGTGCAACTTACAGGTAGAAAAGGCTGACAAGCTTGGTCAATTCGCGGGGGATAGTCCCTGTGAAACTGTTGTTGGCCAAGATTCTGCCATGACCATTTTGATTGCGATTGCCATTTGAGTTGTTCAGGTAGGAGGAACTACTGCAAGAAATGGCAGCAGCTACTTTATCAGTGCAACCCGCCTTTGTTTGAGGTCATGCATGGATGCATTACAGGAATAAAAGGCTCTTATGCGCAGTTCCGCTGGAAACGAAGCAAACGAGAGTGAGCCGGTTCGGCTCGGTGCTTTGCTTTGCTTGCGTTCTTGCTCCTTTAGTGCAACCCGCTTTTGTTCAAGGCCACAAGTGGATGTCTTACAGGAATACAAGGCCCGTCTGGCGCAGAATAAAATCTGGGAAGGTTCCTGTGAAATGGTTGTTTCCAACATCCCTGAATGAGGCCCACAGCGTGGTTGGGAAATAATGAAACAAATACTTAGGAAAGCACATTCACTCATGTACAGGCCACTGCATACGTGCTTTGGCACTTGCATATGAAGGCAGGAAAACAGTAGTGTGAGTGAAGATCCGACAACAAGCACACATCCAGCATGAATTGGAATACAAGGCTACATGAATTGATAACCGAAGCACGGGCGCACAAATACTCAGGTGAACTTAGAACAGGGGCAGTCACAACGCTTACTGTTGCTGCATCCCACCCACCCGATTAAGCTCCATGAACGGGGTCGTTGCATTGATGAGTTGAGATATCGATCGAGAGGACTCACAGATAATAGAGGTAACTGATTGCTGTGAAGGACGCGGGAAGCACACCAGAGAAGTTGTTGTTATTGATCAGTCTGCATAGCCAGTACAGAAGAGAGAGGGTCCTAGCTCAGATGTTGCAGGCAGCCAAAGTGGACCAAGGGAAGCGATGGAAAGCAAGGTGAAAGGAAGCAGAGTGAGGGAAGGAAAAGGAAGCAGGGTGAGGGAAGGAAAAGGAAGCAGGGTGAGGGAAGGAAAAGGAAGCAGGATGAGGGAAGGAAAAGGAAGCAGGATGAGGGAAGGAAAAGGAAGCAGGGTGAGGGAAGGAAAAGGAAGCAGGGTGAGGGAAGGAAAAGGAAGCAGGGTGAGGGAAGGAAAAGGAAGCAGGGTGAGGGAAGGAAAAGAAAGCAGGGTGAGGGAAGGAAAAGGAAGCAGGGTGAGGGAAGGAAAAGGAAGCAGGGTGAGGGAAGGAAAAGGAAGCAGGGTGAGGGAAGGAAAAGGAAGCAGGGTGAGGGAAGAAAAAGGAAGCAGGGTGAGGGCCAGCTGAGGTGGTGAAGAGGGGAGGGGAGAGGACTCACATCTCTTGGAGCCATGTCATCTGAGCCACCACGTCAAGGCCTGAGCTGAGATTGTTGAAAGAAATGTCTCTGTCACGTGAAGCCCGGGCACGCACGCGCATGCCCGCACACACACATAGATATAGGCAACCAGCTTAATGCTGGGAAAGTTGCAACTATGGTCAAACGAGGCACAGCAAAGAACAATCAGTAACACGTGACGTGAGGCCCTCCAGTTGATTCTGTTCATGCAGCAGTTTCATGTAGTGGGGGCAGGGAGAGGTATATGGGGGGGGGAGAGCAGCTTGGGGAGAGACATACAGACTGTTCATCTCAGTGAGGCGAGTGAAGGTGCTGGGGATGGCTCCTGTGAACTGATTGTAGGACAGCTCACTGCAGCCAGGGCAGCCGAGAGGAACCATTGCAGATTAGAAAGGGAGTGACACAAGATTTGAGAAATGGGGTGAGACCGTGAGTGCAGGTGGGAGGAGAGCCCAAAGGGTGAATAGGTCCGGAGGTTAGAAGATGAGTGTGTAAAGATGAGAAAACATGGGGGCCTCACAGATAAGAGAGGTTGGGCAGAGCCAGCAGGTGTGGTGGGATGGGCCCAGTGAAGGCATTGTGCTCGAGGAATCTGGATAGGCAGACAAGACAGGAGGCGACAAGAGAAAGGGGAAGAAGAGTGGAGCAAAGGATGCGAGGCCATGAGGGATAAGTGAAAGGTGGGAGAGAAGAGGCCATGGGGAATAAGTGAAAGGTGGGAGAGAAGAGGCCATGGGGAATAAGGTTTTGAAAGTACAAAGTGAAGATGGAGTGCAAGGTGGGGGGGCAGGGTTGAAGGGCCTGATGGTCACATCAGGACAAGAGAGACGGAAGAGAAGGGCGGATGGAAAACTGAAGTAAACGTGAAAATGCTGCACAGATCAAAAGAGGGAAAAACAGGAAGTGAGAATGGGGTGGTTGTTGTGGCTTGGCATGGCAAGGTAAGGCACGAAGCCATACAGCAGCAAGTGTTGAAATGTTGGTGGTGTTGAAATGTGAGACATTGAACCAGCAACGAAGTGATTGGGAATCACATAGGGGTGATTGGAACTTGACGGGAAGTGGTTTGGGTTACGGTCGGGAAGGAAATCGGAGTAGTTTGCGGGGCAGCCTCGTTACATGGCATGGAGCTGGAATTCAGGAATTTGTTCGTAAGCCTGTGTGAAAGCACTGGTGCAGACCATCCCACTGGAATGGCGGGTGGCTACTTCGCAAGTGAGGTTGCATAAGTCTGCAGCTACATACTTTTTCATGGCTTTCTGCATGATTGGTTGAAAGCATCAAGGTTAGCAGAGGCAGTCAAAGGATGCCAGAGGCTTGTGCCTTGAGCAAAAAAAATTGGACCTCCGACAGAAAAAGAGTAAGGGGTCCAAGCACAGAAACAAAGGACTGGAAGATCTAACGAGGCAAAGAAAAATCGCTCAGCAGGGAATGCATGAAGGAAAGGAGGAAGCTGATTTTTGAAAATATACTGCATCATGAAGGTATGGGAAGTGGAAAGTCCTGGGGTGAGGCTTGTGACATACATTGACTGGAGGCGGAGGGAAGAGTGACGTACATTGACTGGATGCTGGTGGCAAATGCAGGGGGAACTGTACCAGACAGTTGATTAAAAGAAAGGTCTCTGCAGTAGGGGGGGGGGCAGGAAACAAGTGGTGTACGGAGTGAGGAAGGGACGATGGATACAGACAAGGACAAACAGAGTGAAGGTTGGACAATGGAAGCGCGGAGGACACATGAAACGCACATTGCAGTCAGGTCAGTTAGGGCCGAGAATGTTGCCGGAATGGTGCCTTCAAATTGGTTGACTCCCAAGTTACTGATAAGAGGGGGGGAGAGAGAGAGAGAGAGAGAGAGAGAGAGAGAGAGAGAGAGAGAGAGAGAGAGAGAGAGAGAGAGAGAGAGAGATGCGGCCCTTGGGAACACCGACGTCCTCCTACAACTGCACGCGCTTACCAACACGGCGCTAGCGGGTAAACTGAGCGCCGAGGCTGCAGATCTACTCACCGCTTCGCGCCTGCTCGCCTTCACGAAACCCCAAGGCGGAACTAGGCCAATAGCCGTGGGCGAATGTCTGCTGCGTATTGTCACAAAGGCGGCGCTCTTCCTGGCCGCCCCTGCAGCGCGCGACCACTTCACCCCGCTACAATTCGGTGTGGCGATCGCGGGGGGCATCGAGGCAGCGATACACGTGGCCCGCACCTACCTGGAGGAGTTCCCCGGAGCAACGGCCCTCCAGATCGACCTGGCAAACGCTTTCAATGCCGTGGAGCGCGCGGCGGTGTTTGAAGGACTGAAAGGCACGAAGCTTGACACCCTGGTCCCCCTCGTCCGCCTCTCATACGGCCGCCCATCAGCCCTCTACCTCGACCACGATTTCGAGGCGGAGCCTCTACAGAGCGCGCGAGGCGTGCGCCAGGGTGACCCACTGGGGCCTATGCTGTTCGCGGCCAGCATCCATCCCTGTCTCGCTGCAACGGCGACGGCCCACCCAGAGGTGGTCCTCCTCGCGTACGCAGATGACATCACCCTGCTAGGCGAGACTGCGAGCTGCACGGCGGCCTTCAACCACCTCACGGAAGCACTTCTCAGCCACGGCCTGTCCCACAACCCCGCGAAATGCGAAGCATGGTCCGCCACAGCCCTGGAGCCCGCTGCTCTGCCCCACGGCGTCACTATCTCCCGGGACGGGATCCGCGTCTTGGGCAGCCCGATTGGGCCCCCCGCCGGCTGCGCTGCCCGAGTGCGGGAACGCCTTAAAGCTGCTGCTGAACCGCTCCCGCTCCTCTCCCAGATGGACCCGCAACTCTGCCTGCTCCTACTTACCCGCTGCGTGAGCCGCCGCGCTTCGTTCATGGTCAGAGCCACGCCGCTTGAAGCCCTACCGCTGAGGGAATGGTCCGCCTGGGGGGAAGAACTGTTCCATACCTACCTTGCCGCAGCACACACAGAAACCCCCAGAGCCCGGGTCGAGAGGGAGAGGATTTGGCACCAGGCCGCCCTGCCCGCGTCCCTGGGAGGCCTGGGCATCACCAACCCTGCAGTGGAGGGGGGACATGCCTACCTGGCTGCAGTCACTGCTGCTGCACACCTGCTGCGAACCTTCGGCGACGCGGCAAACCCTGCTCTCACTGGACTGCTGCCGCTAATGGACTCCAACGAGGAATCTACGTCCCTCCTCCCAAGGCGCCTTGCTGCCCTAGAAGCCGCGCTGCCTCCTGAGGGGATCGAGGCCCTCCAAGTGGGGAGACAGAGACCGGACGGGCCAAAGCTCCAACAGTCGCTCTCCCTCGCGGTTCAAACTGCAAGGTTCATGCAACTGCTCGAGAGCTCGCGGGAGATGGAGCTCAACCCACTGTTCGGACACACGCAGCGGCTGCAGTCCCTCTTGGGCCCCGGCGCAGGGGACTGGCTGCTCGCCGTCCCGCTGATCTCCTCCCTCCGCCTCGGGCCCTCTCAGTTCTCCACAGCGGCCTCCTTCCGCTTAGGCCTCCCCCTACCTGTGCCAAGGCGCTGCGACTGCAGATACCGCACCACATTCCCCGACGACCGCCTACCGAACCATTTGATGCGGTGCGAGAAAGGGGGGGGGAGAATTGCAACCCACAATGCCCTTCGGGACGAGTGCGCAAAGATAGCTGCGGAAGCGGGCTTCACCGTGCATAAGGAGACAACGGCTTACTCACCGGTCGAAAACCTCAAAGCGGATATCTCTATCCGCCATCCCGACACCGGTGAAGTGTGGATCTGTGACATCACGGTCACGGACCCCGTCTCCCACCAGGATGAATACGCCCGTAAAGCTCCCGGTTGGGCTGCTAGAATGCAGGCGGACAAGAAGGCAAGCAAATACGCCAGGCGGAGCGCTTGGGTGGGCTTTTACGCCTTGGCGGTTGAGACCTACGGTTACCCCTCGAGTGGAGTCCTGGAATTCCTTCACAGCTGCGCGGAGTTAGCGGCCATGCGGCGGTTCAACGCCACCCCCAAGTCGAGGGAATGCGCCAAGCTACTCACCGAGTACCGGCAGCGGTGGAGTGTGACCCTGCAGAGAGCGCAAGCCACTGCCCTCAGGGATAAGACCCATGAGGCCCTCACGGCGGATGCGCTCGGCCTGCAGGGCCCGTTTACTCCAATGAGTGAAGGGCAGCTGTATCAGTTGATAGAAGACCCCTCCGGCCATTAGGGCCGGGCGGGGAGGGGGGGGCTGGGGCTGGGATAGTGCGGGGTTAGCTGCTGTTTTGCTGTAGCCTGGCCGTGAGATTGCTGTAGCCTTACCATCTGTGTACCTCGCTGACATTAATACCAAGGCCCGTTCGAGAGAGAGAGAGAGAGAGAGAGAGAGAGAGAGAGAGAGAGAGAGAGAGAGAGAGAGAGAGAGAGAGAGAGAGAGAGGAATGGCCTAGTTCCAGTCCTCAGCCGTTTTTAGGCCTCTCTAGCCTAGTCTCCTATCCTTAGCCGTTTTTAGCCTGTTCTTCCTAGTATAAAGCCCCTAGATCTCCGCCCATGGGGCTCATTATTCACTGGTGAGTTCAGTTTACTCTCCAAAATCAGCGGCTCGCGCCGGCCGCCTTCGGCGGCCGCCGCTCGCCAGCGCGGCCTACGGCCGCGCGTGAGGGGTGGCAAGGGAGTAAGCGCCTGGCAGGTCAACATGGGGCAATACAAAAAGGAGGCATAGATCTACGGCAGGTACAACAACACCCCCGCGCGTGAGCACACCGCCATGGGGAAGCCCAAACCCAGACCTGCTACAAAGGGGCCTGGCAAGGGGAAGTCTACCGCTACTCAACGAGGATCCAACACAGCCTCCCGTCTAGCCAGCGCAAGACGGACGCGGCTGCCGCAACAAGGTCGAGCGGGTCGCCCCGGGCTGAAGCAGCAAGCCGCGCCAAAGCTCCAGGGCCGGGCCCGAGGGCAGCCCCAGGAGAGCCCGGCACATAGCCAATCAGGGGGAGGTAATGCTGCAGCTCCTCCGCCACCGCCACCGCCGCCGACTGCTCCGCCGGCTGCATCGCCTCGATCTGCACCTCCTGCTGCATCAGTGTCACGTGCAGCTGGTCGAGCACATATGACAGGAGTGTCATGCACGTCCCAACGTGCATCACGCGTTGCTCGACGCGAGTTGGGGGCGCGCCAAGAACCAAGGCAGGGGGAGGAGGCGGGCTCGGGGCGCGCGGGAAGTGTGACGGGGGAACTTGGGGCATTGGGGGACGAGGCGGTAGCGGTTGGAAGGGTAGGGGAAAACGCCGCAGTGGGGACTGTGCTGGGGGTCGCTGTGGTGCCCAGGAGGGCGGCTGGATTGGTGCTTGAGGGAGATGCTGCTGCTGCTGCGACTGCAGCTGAGACGGTGGCGGACCCTGTGTTTGCTGGCGGTTCTGCCGCTGCCGTTGGCGGCGGCTCAACTTCACACGCTGCCGCCCCACGGGCGGCACAGAAGGAGGCGGAGGAGCCAAGCCCGGGCGTGGATCAGGAGCAGACCGCGGAGGCGGTGTTGTCGGCGTCACCGGCGCCTGTAACGGCGGCTGTGCTGGCGGCAGTGGTGTCTGCTGCGGCTGGGGAGCAGGGCGCAGCCCCGTCGGAGGTTGACGCGATGCCTGTCGCTGCGAACGCCGGAACGCGTGTACCTGCCGCGGCCGCAAACAGGCAGGAGCGCGGCCAGGCGGAGGGTGAGTTTCTGGGACCTGCGAACGGAGCCTCTGCCGGCGCCGCACGGGCGGTTTCGAAGAAGAAGCCGCGTGCCCAGCCAGCGCCGAGATGGCCCGGAGCAGGGCTGGGACCTGGCTCCCCGGGACCCCTCCTGGGCTGGCTTCTGCAAGGGCAACCGCCATCTGAGCGAGCGCATCGGTCGTCATCGGTGAGCCAGCGAGAGGTGCGGGAGGAGGCTGAGGCTGGAAGTCGCCCGCCCGGAATCTCCCGGGACGCTTCCGCCCCCAACGTTACACCAGCAACGGCAGTGCACGCTGAGGCTCCAGGCACCACGAATGCCGTTGCACACAACACCCGCCACGCGACGCGACGAGCGGCAATAACCTGGGGACCGCCCCGGGGAGGTCGGACACCGTGGCTGCCGGCGGGACGTGGAGCTACGGGCGTAGTGGCAAGAGCGCCAACAAGCGCGGGGAGGACTCAACGGGGGGGCGGTACACGGGGAGCGCGCGGAGGGCGAGGGGGAAGGGCCCTGGTAGGGGGATCTGAGATCCCTGTGCGAGTTGGCACCTGGCGGGAACGCCACGACAGACCAGAGGCGGGGGCAGCACCAACGAATGAGGAGGACGCAGCGGGCTCTGAGGACAACGGTGGCGACCCAGAATTTATGTGTGGGGACGAAGCTGAATCTGAGGAGGTGTCCCTGGAGGAGGAAACTGGGGTGGACAGGAATGCACCCAACACACGGGGAAGAGGGTCGAGGGGGGATGGGCAGAACCAACAAGCTGTGGGAGATACAGGTGGAGCAACGGATGCGACAGATGTCTTCTCGCCTACGGACATGGCGAAGGACGAGGCCATCTGGCAAGAAGCTGGGGGTTGGGATATGCAGCAACTGCAACGTAGTGACCAGCCCTTCCTTGTCTGCCGCCTACCTCCACAAATCCTAGACAAATACAGCCTTTGTCTGCTGGCGCCACTTCTGAGGCTGGAGAAGTTCCCCTCGTGCCTAGGTGCGTGGAAGATTCTTCTCTTCCTACCGAGGCTTACACTACGACCCTCTCCCGAACCAGTTGTTGGGAGCCGCTGGGCTCGAATTGAGGCTCGGCTGCACCAATTTCAGCAGGGGAAATGGGAGGGACTTTTCGAGGAAGCTGGCATTATCCCCGATACCGA